AAGGAAAGGAAAGACAGATAAAGAGACAGAGGAAAGAAAAAAGGTATCTCATTCAGCAGGCCTGAACTCGGCCATCTGTACACCAGACCAGACAGCTGAACTGGGCCTCAGAGAGCACACAAACATACACACACAAACACATGCACCCGCATGCACACGCTGAACAAAGAACAAATCAAATCCAACAAACACAGATACTCGCCCTCTCACAGTTAAGAACAGGGAATGCTGGACGTGTTTAATGATTAATATCATTCTTAGTATTCGTTGTCCTCTTGGATGAAACCTTGCTCTCTCTGCCTCCTCCTCCTCTCCCTCTCTCAGAATTCCAAATGGAGCCGAAATGGTTTCCCCGAGGCTCAATGTCCTGGCTAGTTTCACCAGGCACGCTGCTGTGTTTCATAGGAGAAGTGTGACTGCACAAATACAGTAATGAGCTCTCACTGGGAGCTGGGGGCCTCCTGGCACTGCTAATGGCTCCTCTGGACTGCAGCTGTATCCAGGTTACAACCTGGCCTGGCCCACAGGCCTTGGGACACACAGGCCCAGTAGGGACAAACTATTCCCAGCCACAGGCACGCACTGTAGTCAGAAAACCAGATCCACAGCAGACTTTGTGTTTGGTGTGTGGGTGTTTGAAGTACGGAGAGGAAGAAAGAAGATCTGGGGTAGGGGGTTAGGGGGCAGGAAGCTGTGAAGGATGTCAAGAGACAAGGGGGCCATGGTAAAGACAGAGACGAAGGAATAAAGACAGTTGAAGAGATTTGGTTTGGCCATAAACGCGGCAGATAGACCCAATAAACCTGGAGGCTCTCATAGGGCAACAGCTGGTGTTGGGCGAGTCTGATGCGTGCATGTGTGTGTGTGTGTGTGTGTGTGTGTGTGTGTGTGTGTGTTTGTGGGGAAAAGAGAGAGAGAGAGAGAGAGAGAGAGAGAGAGCAAGAGAGAGAGAGAGAGAGAGAGAGAGAAAGTGTGTGTGTGGTCTGCTTAATTATCCCCATAAAAGAGTAACCCTGCAACGCTTACATACATGTACAAACTAAGCACAGAAAACAACAACAGCTTGCTAATCGTAACTGGATTCACAGTCATAGTAACAAATTTTGTTAGTCTTTGAAAAATTAAAGCAAAATGTCTTTATTCAGTAAACACAACAATAGAACCGGCAAGGACAACAAACAATAAAATGGAAAATGTCACTTCAGGTTTTAACCTTTGAACCCAATTAACCATGTCATAGATTCATTATGACGATGCATTGTTTGGACAAAGGCTGATCAACCCTAAAGAACTTTATTTTAGCCAAAATAACATGCGTCTCATTCAAGTACCAACAAATGTTCTAAACTGACACTTATCATTACAACAAATCTGTATTTTATGAAAAAGCCAGCAATAGAAAATGATATCTTAGATTTGACATTTCACTCAATGTGAGCATGATGTGACTGGTAGGTTGGTAGGTAAGTGGAACGATGGCAAAGGCTTGACCATCTCCTGTTTTCAAACCTAACAGCGAAATAAGCATTAGGGCTGAGTCCATGGGGCTCAAATTGCAATCCTGTTTGTGTGGGGCTAAAAGGTTTGTGATGTACAGGGCTTAAAGGTCTACTCCTAATGTTTCATAAATTACTGGCATGCAATTATGTTGCATTATGACACCCAAACTCAGCATCGTGTGCCCAACATCTTCCCCCTACTACAACACACATTACAAAACAGATTAACCCACACACACACAGACACAAACAGACCGCTCCTGTTGTTGCCCTCTCTGGGAAATCTCACAGCTTGGGTTCTTTAGCTACTGTTTTGTCTGGCCCTCCATTCAAAATGGCCCCCTCATGACCACGCACATTATCGTCCGGGCAGGCAGCCCCCGAGTGGACTGAGGCTCCCCGGGTGCAAGCAGTGATTCATGGCACAAGGGTCTGTAAAAGAGCAGCCTCGCCCCACGCTGCAGCCCTTCAAGGGGACAAGGAGAGCAGAGGCTGTTTGGCAGTGGGGGTGAATCAAAAGTCTGGCGAGAGGACTGAGCCCTGTTGAGACCACGTGGGCCCGGGGAGGTGTTTTCTTGTGTGTGTGTGTGTGTGCACTCGTGTGTGTGTGCGTGTGCATGTAGAGAGAGAGTTGGAGTGACAGTGAAAGAGAGAAACACGGATGGGTAAACCCAAACTAATGCTGTGTGGAGTGCGTCTGTTGAATCTACGCTGCTCCCTATCCTGAGGACAATCTCGCAGCAGCTTTTTAACAATCTTAGCTCCGAGGCAAGTACAAAGTACTAAATGTTTAGGGGTTATCTCTAACACTTCCCCAATCTAACAGAGCCCCAGTTTAAAGGGCACTGGGAAAAAGACACTGTGAGAAACAAAGAGGGCTCATGAATAAGAGCTGAAAAATGATAGTAGTTCCTAGGATTGATGAAACCCTATCAGGTTTTGTGACAGGCAGCGAGACACACAAATTCTTTCCCCTCAGGCAAGAAGGTGTAATTTCCCCTTCCACTGTCACAAGAGCCTGTAGCTCAATGACTGACTGATTCAAGGTAATTTGTAATGTACAACATGTAGGCACAAATCTATCTATCTATCTATCTATCTATCTATCTATCTATCTATCTATCTATCTATCTATCTATCTCTGTTCTTGCAGATCAAGACACTCAGAATAGAAACACTGGCATGCTGCTCCGTTGTAACACACGGTGGGATGCGGATGAAAATGCTGGCCCCACAGGACACACACGTACACACACACACACACACACACACACACACACACACATACACACACAGATACACACACACACATACATAAAGAGCGGACTGCTGTGGGGCTGACGCAAGACTATCTCTGTCTCACGTGTCTCTCCCCTACGGCCGCCCGCTGCTCCTGACCTTCGAGATGTTTTTCTCTCTCCTTCTCCCTCTCCCTTTATTCCTCTCTATTTCACACTCACACAACAGACACACACACACACACCCTCACTCACTCACTCTTTCTCTCTCTCTCTCTCTCTCACACACTCACACACTCACACACACACACACACACACACACACACACACACACACACACACACACACACACACACACACACACACACACACACACTCCTCCCTTTTCTGCACACCTCCAAGCCACTCAGTATTTTGTCATTAAAAGGCATTGCATTTCAAGCTTGGATCAAGCAGATGGGGCTGCGTAAGCATTGCTGCTCCTTCACACAGCACCTTGGCTTAAGTACAGATAGTCCACATGCATTACAGCACTCTCCCCTAAATACATGCACACAAACACACATGGGAACACACACACACACACACACACACACACACACACACACACACATATGCACACGCACACGCACACGCACAACCTTCCTGGAACCAGAGAATCAGCCCGGTTGTGGATGGCTGCTTCATGTGGGTAGTGTGTATCTCAGCTGTGTAATGCCTAGCTGATGTAGTTGAAAGCCTTAAGATGGGCTCTACAAAACAACAACGCTGAGCAGGAGACAAAGGTATCATCTCTTAGCAGAGAAATGTCCTGGTTAGTCATTCTTATGCTAACATACTTATTAGTCCATGCTGGAGACCAGTGGTTTGTGCCTTCCAATGGCAAAACACTGACAGGAATACTCATAAAGTTCAATGGGTTCACACACACACACACACACACACACACACACACACACACACATATACACATACGTGAATTTAATATAATTATATCTCGCTGCCATTAGACAAATTTCTCTGTCTTTCTTTCATTTTCTCTCACTCTCAACATTTGCATATTCCTTTGGGTGTTTGAGTTGAGCAGCTCTTTCCTTTTCCCTTCTCTTGTCTTCCAAGCAACAAATGTCAGCTAATTACACCATAGCTGTTTGGACGAGCTCCATCTTTCCCTGTGCTCTGCTGTGCTTGTTCTCTATGGGGCTGCAGGAAGAGTCAGGCAGCCAAGACACCAGTCAGTGACAGCCAGCGGTGGGGGTTCAGCTACAAGGCTGCACCCCCCTAGAAATTGATTCCCCAAGAGAGGACTCATCAATACTTATCACAAATGATACAACCAGCTCACACCAACCTGCGGGGGATATAATGTATCATTCACAGCCAGAGATGAAGCAGTAATGGTTAAACCTGATAGAATCAGGTCTGGTAACACACAAGGCTAAAGAGACAGTCACAGGCGAAACAAGTATTTCCCTGAGCTCTGCATTCAGTAAAAACCTTCTCATAAAAGATCCCATTTGATCTGGTGACACACTTGCAGGCACAAGGCCATCAAGTCAGGCAGCAGAGAAAAGTGCAAGTCATTGTCTGTGTGTGGAACAACAAACTGCCACCTTGGTGTGTGTGTGTGTGTGAAGTGAAGCCTTGAGGACGCAGCCGCGCCCCAGAGTACAGCTAGCTCTCAGACAGAAAAGAAAAGAGAAAGAAAAAAGAAAGAAAGAATAGGACGGAGACAGGAGGAGAGCAAAGCTGCACGTAGCAATACATATATGAACAACTAAACACAATCAAAGATCCTAACCTAGAAGCACTGTAGGGCACGGTTAACAACCATTTACATTCGCCGCTGGCTCTGAACAGATAGCAAACTCAAAGGATGTTTATTAGGCGCGTACGTTTCAGACAAATATTCTGATTAGAATGGGAGAAATCTAATTAATTGCTTGATTCACTGAATGAACCCCGAATTTGTAATGTAATCATAACAACTGCTTTTCAAGGGGCTCTTGTTAAATTTAATTGGGGAGAAAAAAAAAACATCCTCTTTCACTGAATGAATGAAAATCAAATTAGGCCTGAAACTGGAGGAGTCTGCAAGTTTGTTCTGGCGTGCCATAAAAAAACTGTAAAAGCAGGAATGTGTGACAATATATATTTTTTAAGTCACACATCAACTATTTTGTAACACGCAAACATACACCGGTGGGATAGAGAGACAAGAGAGAGGAGATGTGAATACTCTTTACTATAGTGGATACTCACTGACGTTAGAGATGTCTTCAGCTCCTTGACATAACTGCTGTAACACCTGGAGAAAAAGCAGAAACAAAAGATCAGTGTGGTTCAGGTCAAAAATACAATCTGAGTCATAGGAATAAAATGTGTCTCCACTACTTGTAAGATAGTCAAATGATTAGATTATATGCATTATATTTGAGATAATGCTGGAAGTTTTCCTTTTGAGAGCCTGAAGAAGATGAAGCCCCTAAAACTACCTGGATATCAAAGTTAAAAGTTGCACAGCTTAGTATTTGTGATTTTCAGGCACATCGGATAAAAAAAAAAAATACAGTGACGTCTGAAACACAGCTGTAGATACACACACACACACACACACACAGTTAGATGTTCACACGCACAAAAAAAGTCTTTCTCCCCGAGCCCTTTCTTGTAAAACCTGTTTGTTAGAAATGGATCTAGACACTGGAGCTTTGAGTGTGAGGATATTTTCCCCAAACACAAGACAGTTCTTGCAGAGAACCAAGCCTTACCAACGTTCTCACGCCCATCTCTCATGCATTGTCTCTAAGGCCCTCCTGTGCTCTTACAGCCTGAGCCTAATCTAAGTAGCTCACCATAACAGATGCCACCCTGCAACATATATCATACTGCATAGACACATAGAAACTTTTATTTACGCTAATATACTCCTATTCTTGAACATAAATACAGACAAATACAAACTTCAAGCCCTCTCATACACGGGGAAGCAGTTTCTTATAGACATTTCCAGACACACCAACACACATAAAGTGTTATAGCGCTTGTGGGTAGCTATCTAACAGGGTTTTGTTGACAGTAAACACGTCCATCTGGTCAACAGCAACAGAATCAAGTCTGGTGGATACTTCATTAGCTCAGATGTGGTCAACTATTGCAATGACATATTTCTCTCTTTCAGTTTAGGGACCAAATCTTACACACAGTTTAAAAAAGCTGTGATTGTCACTGCAGAGTTTTAGTAATTCTTGTAAATGCCACATGTTGGAATGACATGCCTTGATTATGCCACGATTAAAAGAAAATGGGTGTATTGCAGTTTGTGAGCCTAAGTGATTTTGTCTTTTCAGATAACCTCCAGTCATGTCAAAGTCTGTGGCACATAATGCAACACACATCTGTCATTAACGCTCAGTTCATCACTGAACAGAAATCACCTCCACTGCCTCTGTTGATAATAACCAGAATGATCGAACTGAAACGGTTCCCTTCATTATCTTCACTCTTACACAGACAGACAGACAAACACACACACACACACACACACACACACACACACACACACACACACACACACACACACACACACACACACACACAAATACTTTGATAACTCATCTCAGTGATAATGATAACAGAGAGCCAGGTAGGCTGAATTCATCTTCAGCTTTTTCATAAAGGCTTATTAGTGGATGATTAAAGGATCTCTGCTCATAGGGCTTCAGCACAGAAAATGATTTGCCAGCCACGAGGCAGGTGAATTACACTGGATAAGAAAGCCAGTGCTGTCTGCCATCATTTGCCTGACTGAGAATCTGGCTGTTAGTCTATTAACCTCATTTTATTCTAAGATCTTACCAGTTTTACATCAACTAGAGATGGATAAAATATCACAAAAAAACACTCAATTTTAAGGCTGCCCCCAAACAAAGATTTTCCTTGTCAACTGGTAGTCTTTAGTTCAAGTGATCAGTCGACTAGTCATTGCACATTTATGATATCAACGTAATTATTTAGATATGTATTTTTGGGAGGCATCAGAAAATGGTTTGAGTTCCAATAATATTGAAAGCAACGTTGCTGACACTGTGCTACATTACAGAGAAATACAAAACCGTATTAATGAGCCTTTAAAATACAGATTTTACAAGTGAGCAACCTGTTAACAACATTGGCAAAGCGGTAACTACTCTGAATGTGTTGAAACAACCACCACGGAGACTGGACATTTTGATGATGTATTTCAAAAACATCACACAACTTAAGCTTGTAACAACACAATATAGAGAGAAATGCACATTGTGCACAGGTGCACAAACATGGAGTCAACAAGGTAATTTAGCGAGTTAACAAGATAATTTAGCATCTCCCGTCCCCATGAACACTTGGATAAGCCTAATAGTGCCTATTTATCTAAGCTATCTAACATTAATGCAAGTGGCCATGCTAAGTGGCTAACGTTAGGCTACCTACATGTTTCAAATGATGAACCATGTTTATCAGGCCTGTTTATACCTGCAGAGTTTGCATGTCACCTTCTTGGGATCGTCCTTTACCCTCTTGAAATGTTCCCACACTTTGGATTTCCAACCTCACAAATGTAAATACTGTCTAACACAGGGACCAGCCATATACAATGTCTGACTGAGTGACTGAGTGTTGCCACTTCCTTTGGAGTTTTTTTTTTTTCCTGCAACAAACTGACCAATCAAAACTCGGTCGACTAGGACTCCTATCATCAACTAATGTTTGGTGGACTATTAGGAGGGCAGCCCTCCACCATTTCCCTAAGACTTAATTTAAACAATTAATTGACTCATAATTGTTGTATATTATATTTCAGTTGACTGATTTTAGTCTACTAATTGACTACTAGTTTCAACTCGATATGATGAACGTTAAAAAAACATCAAAACATTTTTATCATTGAATAATAGAATTAAATCAAAATCAAAACCGAAACAACTATGAGTATTTTACCATTTTATCACACAAGAAAAAAGAAGGTTCACCCAAGCATTACTTTAATGCAAGAGAATACATGTAATCATGTTTTGGAAAGTGACACAAAGCTATTTGTTATTGCCTATAAGAAAGTGATAAAACAAATTACTGCCCTAAGTTATTAAGTTTAACACTTTTTGAGTAACAACCTAAATGTCATTTTATAATAGCCATCATTACTTACTAATTTCCATCTAATTAACTTGAAAGGCAAAAAAACAAGCAAATGCAAAAACAGGAACTATCTGCAAAGGTATAATTACCTGCATTTACACTCCAGGCATGCTTACACATGGACATTGTACAACCTAACTGTTGTGACGTCTCTCTGAATTGTCTTGTTTGGTTTCCCTAATCTACCCCCCTTCCCTCAGCTACACTGATGTTGACTTTACTTTGGTAGTCACACAGCAGCTCTCGGGCATCTGTACAGGGTTAAATACAAGGGTCGGACTTTTGTATAGCTACAGAAAGAAAGAAAGAAAGAAAGAAAGAAAGAAAGAAAGAAAGAAAGAAAGAAAGAAAGGTCACACATGCTTCATGTGAGTCTTCTCTACAAAAAACTCTCTTGATATTCAAACATAGAAAACAAGTGTAATCTGAAAATACACATATTGAGATTGGCCTAAAATCCCTTGCTTTTTAATATTTGATGCCTTGTTAGAGGAGCGACAGTGGTGAGGTGTTTGTCTCTGTTGTCTCTGTTGATCTCTGGCACACCGGGTCCCTGTGGGAGTGAGCAAGTGAGACTTGGCCGCAGACATTTTCCTGAAGCCCCCAGAACAAAACAGGCAAGTCTTGACAGTCTGTCCGCCACAGAGTCGTCACACAATCAGTTGCAGGAAACCAATCCCTAAATAGCAGTGATTCATCTCTTCATCACACACAATGCCAGTACACAGTGCACAAAGAAGCTCTCTCTTCCTCCCTCTCTCTCTTTCTGTCTTACCCTATCTGTCTCAACCCCTTCCCCCCCAGTATGGTCTCTCATGCTGCTTAAAAATAAGTGCTTCTCCCAGCTTTCTTTGCCCTGTGATTTACTGGCAGTGTTTAACTGCAGGGCAGCATCTTTTATCGTTACATGATCTGGGGCTGAAACCTGACAAAATGGAATCTCTGTGCAAGTACCTTTGTATGTGAGTAAGTGTATGTTCAGGGCAAAGTAGGGAGCGGGTGGAGGAATAAAGAACTTGTGTGAGAAACGTTTGTCTAAGTGCAATTCAAATCCTCCCAGCCTCCCGGTGCTGTGTATGTGTGTGAATATATGTGTGTGTTTGTCATTCCGCTAAATGGTTTCTTCCTTGACTTGATGGAGCAAGTGCCATCTCAAGGGAACGGGTTACACCACACACACACAAAGTAAAGCGCTTTGAGACTGGTGAAAAGCTCAGAACATTAGTGCAATCCACTTTTGAGAAGTAGAATATATATGAAATACCCGGCTTGATTGTGTGCCTCTGTCTTTTTGTCTGTGTATGTACTCATGTTTTGTGTTGCCATGATAACTCTTCTCTTAGTGGCAGAGAGCCCGTTGTTGCATTAGCCAATCCACTTCCTTTTTTGCTTTTTTTTTTTTACAAGATAAACCTGATTCAGATATGCAGTCAACCTGGCCTCGCCGGTGACTATCCACAGATGCATTTGGAACAATGATATCAGTACAGTATGTGACCAGATCATCACCAGTGGATAATCAGGCTAGCACAGGCCTACACAACAGGTTCAGTGTATCGTTACAGCCTTGATGATCCATCAAGATGACGTGTGAAGGTCAGAATAGCCGTGACCAACACAGCTGTCACATCTCCTCCCAGCACCCTCTTGGCTAACTGGCCTTCCAAAACACTCAGCACAAAACATGGCCAACTGGGGAGCACAGGGGCCAAGGCCAACAGAACATGCCTATAACCCAGGCTGGGCTTGTATCATGACATAATTGCCCTCCATACAATAACACACAGTGGTGAAGAGGTGAATCAGAGCTGTTCTGGTGTAATGACATTGCAAATATGAGGAGGAAACTGTTTGAATATCCTGTAATGAAAAACAGTGTGATGTCTATTAGTATTGGCTTTAAAATTTAATTCAACACCCAATATAGCCACAGTTTTAAATGACTACCAGGTCTGTTGTTTGAGCAGAAAAGGCTACAGTGGAGCTGTGTGTGGACAGCAGATGTGAATCCACTTTGATTTCAATGCCCATGTGTGTGTGTGGAGTTTCTATTAAATGGATCTGCTGTCTCCTTGATCAAGGGAGTCAATAAAGGGCCAGTCCTGTCAAACCCTCAGGGGTAAGTGTGTA